CCCCAAAACCCCAAAACCCCAAAACCCCACTAGGCACTTAAAGTTAATAGTAAAATAAAAGATTATAAAGTATGAATTAATTCAGTATTAAAGATCTTAAAAAATTTACTTTAATAGAGACTGAGAATTTCATTTTGATTTTTTGTCTTATTAAGTGCTCTATATCATATCTATTGGTCTAGTTTTAACCTGAATTGAAAACCAACATATGATTTGCTGTATCAACCCGCTCATTATGAATACAATCAAGCTATTCACAACTGACATGTAGCTTTTCCAATCCATAAAATCATAGATGGGTTACCCCAAATACTATACTCCAAAGTAGTTGAAAATTGTGTAGAACGCTCCTAGAACAATTTGATAGAATGCTTGGCCTGGGATAAACACTCCTTACGTTAAAATGAAGTTCAAAACTGCAGTGACAGCTGGAAGGCTGTGAATCAATACTTTGTGCCACCAGAAGTATGTAGAAAATATAGGTCTGTCAGGAGTGAATGATTTAGCTAAATCATTTTGATACAATTAAGTCCAGTATACAAGATTTATGATGAGTTGTAATGTTAGAGAAACTTGAAAGCAAATTGCTGATATTCTCTTAATAAGTAAATTATTTTTGTTTTCTGGGTTGCCTGCCTTAATACAGTATATTAGAGTAAATGTTTACAAGTGATGGCCCCACCATGTAAGGTATATCAATTGAGCATGTAAAGGTAGAAATATTGTGCCCACCACTGTTATACTTATCAAGGGGACTAATAATGCTTTCCTAATATTCTAGAGTGCCTGACTATCTATCAAATCAGGATACTAACACTTAGAGAAGTCGAAATTCTATGCTACTAGTTAATTTTGATAATTCTCATCAGTAATATCCCATTGTCTAGGTTCGAATGGATTGTAATAAAAGCCCTTCTCGTTTTCTTTCCTCATTTGATTTACTGTTGTCATTTATTCAATTTATAAATTCCCTATATTATATAAAGACTGATAATTTAAATATCTAACAGCCATTAAGAATAACTTTTCTCAGAATAAATTGTATTTATTCCTTAAGGGGTTTTGGGGTTTTGGGGTTTTGGGG